CCAGGCAGAATGTGGTAATGTGCAAAGGCATGGAATCAAGACGCACAGGAAATAAGCATGGGGTAGCTCTGTAGGCAGACAGTTCCGGGACTGCTGGTAAATTCAGAGAAGATGGACAGATGGGCAGGGATGGAGCCATCAGTGGCCTTGTTTGTCTTACAGACCTTACAGGCAATACGGATACCTTGAAAAATCTTTAAACAAACAAGTGACCTTATTAAATTTGGGATTTAGAAAGATTCTACTCTGGCAGCATGGGACAGGTGGATTAAGGATGTTTGAGCCTGGAAATAGAGAAGCCAGTCAACGAGCTATTACAACCACCCAGGTGAGGGATGATGAGGGTTTGTGCAATGGCAGTGAAGAGGGGAAGAGAGAGCTAAGTGTCTAGGTGAATGTGATGTGATCATTGAAACAGGTATTAAAGAAGAAACATGTTTGGAGAGAAGCTAAGTTCCAAACAAGTTGGAACTGAAATGTCAGTAGGACCTCTAAATGGAGTTGTCTCTTAGGCAGTTGGTGATGTGACAGAAGATGCAAACATTTATTAATTTGTCACAAAAATGTTAAAGACATTGTCCACTTCTTTCTTTGGTATCCTTTAATAAAACATCTGTCCTGGCCCAATCAGCCTGAGACCGCCAGGGATGAATCTGCAGACTGATTTGTGAATGCTTGTAACCAGGAAGACCACACACAAGAGAAACTGTGTGTATCTCACCAACACAGGAAAAGAGAGTTATTAGAAGTTTAGGGGAAATAATGGAGTTTAGGTAAAATTTAAATGAAGTATGTTTTTTTAATTTTTTAAAATATATATATTACATATATTATTGCATTTTAGGTTCTGGGGTACATGTGAAGAACATGCAAGATGTTGCATAGGTACATACATAGCAATGTGGTTTGCTGCCTTCCTCCCCATCACCTATATCTGGCATTTCTCACCATGTTATCCCGCCCCAACTTCCCACTCTCCACTGTCCCTCCCCTAGTCCCCTCGCCAAAAACCCCAGTGTGTGATGCTCCCCTCCCTGTATCCATGTGTTCTCATTGTTCAACACTCGCCTATGAGTGAAAACATGTGGTGTTTGATTTTCTGTTCTTGTGTCAGTTTGCTGAGAATGATGGTTTCCAGGTTCATCCATGTCCCTAAAAAGGACACGAACTCATCGTTTTTTATGGCTGCATAGTATTCCATGGTGTGTATGTGCCACATTTTCCCTGTCCAGTCTATCATTGATGGGCATTTGGGTTGGTTCCAAGTCTTTGCTATTGTAAACAGTGCTGCAGTGAACATTCGTGTGCACGTGTCCTTATAATAGAACGATTTATAATCTTTAGGAAATATACCCTGTAATGGGATTGCTGGGTTAAATGGAATTTCTATTTCTAGGTCCTTGAGGAATCGCCACACTGTCTTCAACAATGGTTGAACTAATTTACACTCCCAACAGTGTAAAAGTGTTCCTATTTTTCCACATTCTCTCCAGCATCTGTTGTCTCCAGATTTTTTAATGATCGCCATTCTAACTGGGGTGAGATGATATCTCAATGTAGTTTTGATTTGCATTTCTCGAATGACCAGTGATGATGAGCATTTTTTTCATGTTTCTTGGCCTCATATATGTCTTCTTTTGTAAAGTGTCATTCATATCCTTTGCCCACTTTTGAATGGGCTTGTTTTTTTCTTGTAAATCTGTTTTAGTTCTTTGTAGATTCTGGATATCAGCCCTTTGTCAGATGGGTAGATTGCAAAAATTTTTTCCCATTCTGTTGGTTGCCAATTCACTCTAATGATTGTTTCTTTTGCTGTGCAGAAGCTCTGGAGTTTAATTAGGTCCCATTTGTCTATTTTGGCTTTTGTTGCCAATGCTTTTGGTGTTTTAGTTATGAAGTCCTTGCCTATGCCTATGTCCTGAATGGTTTTGCCTGGATTTTCTTCTAGGGTTTTTATGGTGTTAGGTCTTATGTTTAAGTCTTTAATCCATCTGGAGTTCATTTTAGTTTAAGATGTCAGGAAGGGGTCCAGTTTCTGCTTTCTGCACATGGCTAGCAAGTTTTCCCAACACCATTTATTAAACAGGGAATCCTTTCCCCATTGCTTGTTTTTGTGAGGTTTGTCAAAGATCAGATGGTTGTAGGTGTGTGGCATTGCCTCCGAGGCCTCTGTTCTGTTCCATTGGTCTATATCTCTGTTTTGGTACTAGTACCATGCCATTTTGATTACTGTAGCCTTGCAGTGTAGTTCGAAGTCAGGTATTGTGATGCCTCCAGCTTTGTTCTTTTTGCTTAGAATTGACTTGGCTATGTGGGCTCTCTTTTGGTTCCGTATGAAGTTTAAAGTGGTTTTTTCCAGTTCTGTGAAGAAGGCCATTGGTAGCTTGATGAGGATAGCGTTGAATCTATAAATTACCTTGGGCAGTATGGCCATTTTCATGATATTGATTCTTCCTGACCAGGAGCATGGAATGCTTCTCCATCTGTTTGTGTCCTCTCTTATTTCGCTGAGCAGTGGTTTGTAGTTCTCCTTGAAGAGGTCCTTTACACTCCTTGTTAGTTGTATTCCTAGGTATTTTATTCTCTTTATAGCAATTGTGAATGGCAGTTTGTTCTTGATTTGGCTCTCTTTAAGTCTGTCATTGGTGTATAGGAATGCTTGTGATTTTTGCACATTGATTTTGTATCCTGAGACTTTGCTGAAGTTGCTTATCAGTTTCAGGAGATTTGGGGCTGAGACGATAGGGTCTTCCAAATATACAATCATGTCATCTGCAAATAGAGAAAATTTGACTTCCTCCTTTCCTAATGGAATACCTTTCTTTTTCTTGCCCGATTGCTCTAGCTAGAACTTCCAATACTATATTGAATAGGAGTGGTGAGAGAGGGCATCGTTGCCTAGTGCCAGATTTCAAAGGGAATGCTTCCAGTTTTTGCCCATTCAGTATGATATTAGCTGTGTGTTTGTCGTAAATAGCTTTTATTATTTTGAGATTCGTTCTGTCAATACCTAGTTTATTGAGAGTTTTTAGCATAAAGGCTGTTGAATTTTGTCAAAGGCCTTCTCTGCATCTATTGAGATAATCATGTGGTTTTTGTCTTTGGTTCTGTTTATGTGGTGAATTACTTTTATAGACTTGTATATGTTGAATCAGCCTTGCATCCCTGGGATGAAGCCTACTTGATCATGATGGATAAGCTTTTTGATGTGCTGTTGCAATCAGTTTGCCAGTTATTTTGTTGAAGATTTTTGCATCTATGTTCATTATGGATATTGGGCCTGAAGTTTTCTTTTCTTGTTGAGTCTCTGCTGGGTTTTGGTATCAGGATGATGTTGGTCTCATAAAACGATTTGGGAAAGATTCCCTGTTTTGGGATTGTTTGGAATAGTTTCAGAAGGAGTGGTACCAGCTCCTCTTTGTATGTCTGGTAGAATTCAGCTGTGAACCAACCCATCTGGACCTGGGCTTTTTTTGGTTGGTAGGCTATTAATTGCCGCCTCAACTTCAGCTCTTGTTATTGGTCTATTCAGGGTTTTGACTTCTTCCTGGTTTGGGCTTGGGAGGGTGCAAGTGTCCAGGAATTTATCAATTTCTTCCAGGTTAACTGGTTTCTGTGCATAGAGCTGTTTGTAGTAATATCTGATGGTGGTTTGTATTTCTGTGGAATCTGTGGTGATAATCCCCTTTATCATTTTTTATTGCATCTATTTGATTATTCTCTTTTCTTTTTTATTAATCTGGCAAGAAACCAGCTCCTTTATTGATTTTTTTTGAAGGGTTTTTTGACAGCCATAGGTGTCATCATCAGCTCTGGATTGAAAAGTGGACCCAGGGTTTTGCATTTCTTTGAAGTTAAAAGATTGAGTGTCATGTTCATGTTGAGAAATGTTATTTGACATCCTGAAGCTGGGCTGGAGATCAAGGCTGCTTCTGTGTCAGGGTGCCTTAGATCCTCTAGACAAAAGTGGGATGTTTCCTTCTTAAAGATAAGACTTCAAACAGCAAATTTCCGGTAGTTGATGATTTTAAAGAACAAGATTTCTTAGTGAATAAGAAAGCAATAGTCACGCAAATAAAGGGTCTGTTAGCATACTCCATGGCTGTTGTATGCCCTTGGGGGACATGATTGCTTTCAGCTGGCTTTATGTGTATCCCAGCTTCATTGATACAGGGCAGGGCAGATTTTTACATTCGCAGTCCAAGCTAATTTTTACCTACAAGCACCACTGAAATATTTTAATAATTAAGTCCTAAGAAAGGCTTTTAATAAAAGAACTAGTGTTTTCTAGTCTGACGATGAAGACTAGGATACACATTTAGAGTTGATAAGAAAAATGGTCCCGGCTGGGCGTGGTAGCTTACACCTGTAATCCCAGCACTTTGGGAGGCTGAGGTGGGTGGATCACTTGAGGTCAGGAATTCAAGATCAGCTTGGCCAACGTGGTGAAACCCCATCTCTACTAAAAATATAAAAAAATTAGCTGGTTGTGTTGGCAGGAGCCTATAATTCCAGCTACTTGGGAGGGTGAGGCCGGAGACTAGCTTGAACCTGGGAGATGAGGGTTGCAGTGAATGAGATTGAGCCACTGCACTCCAATCTGGGTGACAGAGCGAGACTCTGTCTCAAAAAAAAAAAAAAAAAAAAGAAAGAAAGAAAAATGATCCAATATGTTCACATCTGAAACCTTCTGATCTACCCGAGAGCTCTGTGGACTCTGAACTTGCCAGCAAGCCTCACCTGTGTGTACATGGGTCCATTTCGTGAAAAGGTTCCTGAGTTATTCAAATTCTCAACATGGTCTATGACTCAAAAAGGATTAGGATTCACTGGGATACACTCTCCTCAGGGACTTACTCCTCAAATGCCTCAATTCGAAATGGTTCTATCTTTAAGTCACTAACATTTATGTTGAATAATGTGTTACACTGCAGTCTGTGCTTTTGCTTATCTAAGCTGCATAACTTGCCCTTATTTCCAATCCTTTTTTTTTTCAACAGATAAAATATTTCGATAAAAGAAGAGACTACTTAAAATTCAAAGAAAAATTTGAAGCGGGGGAATTCCAACCTTCAAAAACAACTGCAAAATCCTAGGCTGTTCATAAAGATTGAAAGTATTCTTTCTGGACATTAAAAAAAAAACCTCTACTGACTATGGGACAGTAGTAGCTTAAATCATAGTGAACATCAACACTTATTCCCTGTATACGACTCTTGATAATTAAGATGATCAAGAATCAGAAGATCTGTAAAAAAATTGAAATAAAATGGTATTTATAATTTAGTAAGGAATCTCTGTTTTACAAATTAAAACCGGTTATAAACACATGCAGTTTTTTGTTTTGTTTTGTTTTGTTTTGTTTTGAGGGTGGGAAGTAGGCAGATAAAATTTATAATATACACAGAAGTGAAATCAATGGGAGTTAGCATTTTAATACAGGAAAGAGCTATTACAACAACCCAAGTGAGAAATGATGAGGGTTTATGGAAGGTTTATAAGGAAGAAGGGTGAACTTAAAATATATAAGCAAAATAATAAAAGTCATCTATTAAAAAGCCCATAGCTAATATCACAGTTAATGTTGGGACAGTAACTGGATTCCTAGCTAATTCAGTAAGACAAAAAACAAAGAAAAAGCATACACACTGGGAACAAAGAAAGAAAACTGGCTGTACTCACATATAATACTACCTTACAGAACGTACCAGTGGATGCACAAAAACTCCTAATACTGTAAGTCAGTCATAGAAAGGTTGCAAGAAACAAGGTCAATATACACAAGGAAAATTATATTCCTATATGCCAGCAATAAACAGTTGGAATTTAAAACTTAAAAATACCATTTATGAATAGCACCAAAAAAAAATTAAAGGAATACTTAGGTATAAATCTAATATATGGAGGCCTGTATGCTGAGGAAGCAGACTATATCAAATTCAATGGAGAGGTATACAGTTGGCCTTCTGTGGGTTCTGCATTCATAGGTTCAACCCCGAACAGAAAATATTTGGGAAAAGAAAAAATTTTTAAAAATAATAATAAAAAATTTTAAATAACAGTATAACATTGATTTACATAGCATTTATATTGCATTAGGTATTATAAATAATCACGATGATTTAAAGTACTGGCATACCTCAGAGATACTGCAGGTTTGGTTCCAGACCACTGCATTAAAGTGAGTATCACAATAGAGTGAGCTACACATTTTCCAGGAAACATAAAAGTTATGTTTATACTGTTGTCTAGTAAGTATGCAATAGCATCATGTCTACCCAATGTCTATACCTTAATTTAAAAATACTTCATTACTAAAAAATGCTAAAGATTCTCTGAGCCTTCAGCGAGTTGTCATCTTTCTGCTGGTAGGTCTTGCCTCGATGCTGATGGCTGCTGACTGATCAGGGTAGCAGGGTGGTTGCTGAAGTTTGGGGTGGTTGTGGCAATTTTTAAGACAACAGTTAAGTTTGCTGTATTGATTGACTCTTCATTTCACAAAAAGATTTCTCTAGAATGCAATGCTGTTTGATAGTATTTTACCTGTAGAACTACTTTCAAAATTGGAGTTAATCCTCTTCAACCCTGCTGCTGCTTTATCACCTAAGTTTATGTCATATTCTAAATTATTTATCTCAACAGTACTCACAGCATCTTCACCAGGAATAATTTCATCTCATCTCAAGAAATAATTTCCTTTGCTCATCCATGAGAAGCAACTTCTCATCCATTCAAGATCTTGAGATTGGATTGCAGCAGTTGTCACATCAGGCTTTTTTTTTTTTTTTTTTTTTTTTTTTTTGAGACAGGATCTCACTGTCACTCAGGCTGGAGTACAGTGGTGCGATCTTGGCTCACTGCAACCTCCGCCTCTGGGGTTCAAGCAATTCTCCCACCACAGCCTCCTGAGTAGCTGGGACTATAGATGCGTACCACACCTGGCTAATTTTTGTATTTTTTGGTAGAGAGGGGTTCACCATGTTGGCCAGATTGGTCTCGAACTCCTGACCTCAAGTGATCTGCCAACCTTGGCCTCCCAATGCTAGGATTACAGGCGTGAGCCACCTTACCCAGCCAGGCTTCACATCGAATTCTGTTATTTCCACACATCTGCTGTTCCTTCCTCCAACATGAAGTCCCCAGCTGCATTATTAGCCCCTAACAAGTCGCCCATCCTTTAAAACTTTGAAGCCAGGCATTGACTTCTCTCTAGCTCTGAAAGTCCTAGATGGCATCTTCTTCCAAAAAAAAGGCTGTTTCATTTGCATTGAAAATCTGTGTAGTATAGCCACCTTCATCGGTGATCTTAGGCAGATCTGGGTGATTTGCTGTAGCTTCTACACAAGCACTCGCTTCTTCACCTGACACTTTTTTGAAGACAGCTTCTTTCCTCACACTTCGTTAACCAATGTCTGTGAGCTTCACACTTTTCTGCTGTAGCTTCCTTACCTCTCTCAACCTTTATAAAATTGAGTACAGTTAGGGCTTTGCTCTGGATAAGGCCTTGGGTTAAGGGAATATTGTGGCTGGTTTGATCTTTTATCCAGAAAACTCAAACTTTCTCCATATCAGTAGTAAGACTCACTTTCTTATTTATGTGTTCACTGGAGTAGCACTCTTAATTTCAAGAACTTTTCCTTTACATTTACAGCTTGCTAAGCATTTGGTGCAAGAGGCCTAGCTTTTGGCCTGTGTCAGCTTTTGACATGGCTTCCTCACTAAGCTCTTTTTACTTATTTTTTTGAGATGGAGTTTCACCCTCTAGCCCAGGCTGGAGTGCAATGGTGCAATCTCAGCTTATCACAACCTCTGCCTCCCAGGTTCAAACAATTCTGCCTCAGCCTCCCAAGTAGCTGGGACCACAGGAGTTTGCCACCATGCCCAGCTAATTTTTTTTTTTTTTTTTTTTTTTTTTTTTTTTTTTGTATTTTTAGTAGAGACAGGGTTTTTCCATGTGGGTCAGGCTGGTCTCGAACTCCCGACCTCAGATGATCCGCCTGCCTCAGCCTCCCAAAGTGCTGGGATTACAGGTGTGAGCCACAATGCTCACACCAAGCTCGTAATCATTTCTGGCTCTTAAAGTGAGAGGCTTGCCACTCTTCCTTTCACTTGAACACTTAGAGGCCATCCATAGTGTTATTAATTGGCTTAATTTCAATATTGTTGTCTCAGGGAATAGGGAGGCCTAAGAAGGAGGGAGATAGGGGTCAGTGAGAGGAGCAGTCAGAACACACACATTTATCAATTAAGTTCACCGTCTTATATGGGTGCAGTTTGTGGCACCCCAAAGCAATTATAAAAGTAACACTAAAGATCACTGATCACAGATCACCACAGCAGATAAAGCAATGAAAACATTTGAAATATTGTGAGAAGTAGCAAAACGTTAACACAGAGACACACCCTGTTGGGAAAATGGCACAGATAGATTTGCTTGACACAAGGTTGCCACAAACCTTCAGTTTGTAAAAAACGCGTTATCTGTGAAGCACAATAAATCAGGTGCAATAAGATGAGGTATGCCTGTATAAGGGAGGATATGTATAGGTTAAATGCAAATATTATACCATTTTATATAAGAGACTTGAGTATCTTCAGATTTTGGTACCTGCAGAGGGTCCTGGAACTGATCCACCATGGATACGGGGGGATGACTGTACTGTGTTGACGGATTCGAAGATTCACTATTGTTAAGATATTGTTAAAGTTTCTCCAATTTGATATATAGGTTCAATACAACCCCAATCAAAGTCTCAATAAGCTTTTTTGCAGATATTGACAAACTGATTCTAAAATTTATATGGAAAAGCGAAGGAACTAAAACAGTCAATTTTAAAAAGAAGAACAATGTTGGAGGAGTCACATTACTTGATTTCAAGACTTATTTGAAAGGTACAGTAATCAACACGGTATGGTATGGGCAAAAGGAAAGATCTAGTTTAATGGAACAATAGAGACCCATACAAATAGTCAACTGTGTTTGGATAGAGGCACAAAGGCATTGCAACAGAGAAAGGATAATCTTCAACAAATAGTGCTAGAAAAACTGGATATTCAAACACACCAAAAAAAAAACTTTTTAACATCCTCATGCCTTATACAAAAAGTGACTCAAAATGGATCACAGAGCTAAATGTAAAAACGATAAAACTTATAGAAAACAAGTTCTTTGGGGGAGGGGCGGGGGAGTGGGGAGGTGGGAAGAGATAGCATGGGGAGAAATGACAGATACAGGTGAGGGGACGGAAGGCAGCAAACCACACTGCCAAGTGTGTACCTATGCAACAATCTTGCACGTTCATCACATGTACCCCAAAACCTAAAATGCAATAAAAAAAAAAAAAGAAAACAAGTTCTTTCTTAAAATGATGAAAAGATAAAATACAGACTGAGAGAGAATATTTGCAAATCACGTTTTATGAGGAACTTGTATACAGAATAAATCTTATTCTCAAAAACAATCTGGTTTTAAAAATAAGACTTTGTATATACTTCTCAGAGATATACTCTGAAAAATATATGAAAAGATGCCCCATGTTATTAAACATTAGAGTAATGCAAATTAATACCACAATGATATATCACTACACACCTATTAGTGTGGCTTAAATTAAAACGTTGACAATACCAAGTGCTGACAAGGATGCAGAGTGACAGGCATTCACTGCAGGTGGAAAATGCAAAAAATAAAGCCCCTTTGGAAAAGTTTTTTACAGAGTTAAACATACACTTACCTTATAACCCAGTAATCATACTCCTAGGTATTTCACCAAATGAACTGAAAACAAAACCTATGTATCGATATTTATTTGAAGCAGCTTCATTCATAATCACCAAAAACTTGAAACAATCCAGATGCCTACAACAGAGGAATGGATAAACTGTGATACATCTGTGCAATGGGATGCCACTCACAAATAAGGAAAAATGAACTCTGATTCACACAACATAGACGAACTTTAAATGCACTTTCCTATGTGAAAAAGCCAGATCCAAAAGGCTATATATATATATACATTTTTTTTTTAAATTAAACGTCAAGGGAAGCGCAAATGCATATTACATGCCGCCATTTTTAAGATTCTGGAAAAGGTGAAACTAAAGGATAGAAAACAGATCAGAGGTGACCAATGGCTGAGATGAGGAAAGGGGTTGACCATGAAGGGGTTACACAAACTTTGGGTGATGAAACTGTTCTCTATGCCACTGTGGTGGTAGATCCATGAGTTCACATTTGTCAAAACCCAGACTGTGCACTATAAAGAGTGACCCTGAATGCACATTAAGATAGAATCAACCAAGATACCGGGGGGATTACAATATGGAATGCAGGT